ACGACAGATAATGGCAATCAGTAACACCTTTACTTTAATCTAAATTTCAACTTTTTAAGGTCAAGATCTAATAAATGGAAGGTGCCTAAAGAATTTTCAAATTAAGAAATTAATTCCTTTAGTGATGCTTTATAACACTACATTGATCAAAATAGTTGTTTCTGGGCATAATTTGTAGAAAAACAAGATGAAAAACCATATTTTATACTAGCATTTTCAATGAAAAATTAAGAAAACCAGTATTGAAAATTGGAGTTTTTTCCATATCAGACAAAGAAAATGTATCCATATTGCCTACAGTTTTTCTGAAAACGGTTATTTGTATGTTCTTAGTCTCTACTTTAAAATAATGTTAAATTTAAGATAGGTATCGGGACTACTTTTCATGTGATTTCAAATTGAATTCCATGAAAATACATGTACATTGTACTTTATTTTCTTCATAATTCTATTAGAGCCGTAAAGTACGGGAAAAAGAAAGCTGAAAGTGATTATGACGTCATAATGGATTTAGCACTGAGAAGTTATTCTAAAGTCATTTCCTAGATCTTGACCTTAAAGGGTTTTTTTCTTATCAAGTTCACTGACAAAAATATCGCTAGTTGTCAGATATCTCTACATTATATAATTTATTATTTCAGAAGATGATTGTCTAAGAAAGAAATATAATCTCTCTGCAAACATTTGCTGCAAGTCTAAAGCATACATTGCTGCAAACTTAGGCTTGCTACAAACATTGCTGCAAATCTTCTGCAATGAAGCCAAAGAAACCATAACAAACTTTAAAAACCTTTGTGTTTGCAGCAAGTTTGTAGCTAGTATTGACAAGCTTACAGCAATCAGTTGCCCAAGCAAAAGAGGTTTATCCCTGGCTTTAACCTGCTGCCAATGTTAGATTTTTCAAAGAAATTTATAGAAAATCATATTGTAGAAAGATATTACTACATGTAGTAACGTTTAGTGTTCAAGCTCAAAACTCGATTAAACAATTCAACATGGAGCAGAAAAACGGGAAATTCTAAAACATCAGTATCGGGCACGACCCGTCCCATTCATGGAGGAGTGATCATCACCTGCCAAACAACAACTGCCGTTTGCTCCATGTCATGATCGAAAAAAAAAACAAAAAATAATTCGACAATTCAGTGTGTGCAAATGATGGTCTAACAAAGTCAATAAGCATTTGAATCAATGATTTTATTTGCTGACATGACATTCTATAGAAATAAAGAAATGATGACTTAAAAACAAGACTGTTGATATTCTTGTTTCGTCAATTTGTTTGTCAATTATTTACTTCATTTTAGAAAATCCTAAGTAGCGCATACTCTTGCGTATCTAATCAACAGAGAGTTATACACCCTGTACGTATGTGATGAAGGTAAGTATGGGAAGTTGACGATTGAAAAGTTATAGTAATTATTTTTATAATGAAAATAATTAAAAATAGAGTTACTGTGAGCGATGAGCTCACTAAATGATACCCCCCGCCTCCATATAGTTATAATGGCAAAGTCCATGTTTTGCTGTGGCCGGGAAACCCAAAATATGTGTCGGATCAAAAAGTAAATTAGGAGGTGCACAATGGCTATATGTAATAAAGATTCTGTGAAAGTTTCATTAAATTTCATTCAGTGGTATGGGAGGAGTTGCGGATAAGAGATGGGTACCCCAAAGCATAACAGACGGACGGACGGAGGGACAGACAGACAGACGGACGGAATTAACGATTACTATATACCCCCCCGCTTTTCAAGCGGGGGGTATAACAAAACCATATCTTATCAGCCAGACGTTGTGTGCGCCATTGTACATAAATACATGTACCTAATTAATCGCTTTGTAATCATTTTTAATGATTACAAAATTATACCGAGATATCTACAACTTCAATTCAAATATTTCAAAATGGCGAATTCTTTGTTGACCTAGGTACCGTCTACATTTCATTGGTTGGTTTGATTTTTTGTTTACTTTCATGTGAGCTTCCTGCAATTAAACCTTCGGTTTGTCAAATTTAATGTTTCCATTGAACTTGTTGCTGCTGTATATAGAGGCTTGTATGTTTCTTGCAATGTTCCTGCAAACATTTTGAGTTCTTGCAAGATAATATAGCAATAGTTGTAATGTCGGCCGCAACATCGCAGCTAGCGACAACAATCTGCAAGAAATTAAACTCTTCTTGTGTACAAATTTGTTTGCTGAAGTCTGCAGCAAACATAACTGCTTCGTGAGGAATGCCCAAATTAGCAATTTTAAAAACCCAAGTTTATAACTACATAAAACTTATACATAAAAAATGATTAGTTATTAATATTATTTTTAAATACTTTACTTTTAAGTACTTTACTGTGGTCCTTGATATTTTACAGTTCCAAATATCCGTTTTCTGTTACTTATTGTAGGGAAAACAAATGAAGATGGGGGAACACGGCAAGTGTATGCTTTTTCATAGGCAAATATTTTCAGTCTGTGTGAGATTTTTGTAAATTTTAGAGATTTTACATTAAATAAACTTCATTATTAGATAAGATATTAAATAAAATTCTGAAATAATTGAGATTTGATTTTTCATTTCTTATCTGTCGCACTTGAGCATTTCGCCCGCCTTATTCCCCCATCTTCTTTAATTACGAATATTCACCAATGGACCGTCTTTAATTTAAACATGTTCATGTTGATTATCGAATAATAGTTTGATTCAGTAGCTTTCGTATGGCAACCACAGGTACTTGTTTACAGGAATACACCCCCCCCCGTCCGATATGAATCCCCCAGACTTAATTAACATTTTTCCACAAATTATATCTATTACACTTATTCATCATGTGTATAATAGGAAAATTCTAAAAAATGAGATCTTTACGATGAGTTTTTTGAATTTAGTGGGGGGGGCATGTCCATAAATTCCTGTGATTGCATATGACCAATATTAACAGCCAAAATATGTCTTGACGAAATTTGAAGCTTATTAGGATACAGCTAATTCATACTTTATCAAACTTTGTATCCACCGTTTCTGATTGCCGTATTTCGTTTTAAATCTGCTGTCATTGTTTGCCTCGTCTGTTGTACACGACAGCCTAAATGATTTCACCAAACAAAATTAAACGCTTGCGGCGCTTTTATTAAACAACAGAAATTATCCATATCTTGAAGTTATGTCGTAAAGAGTCTAAATTTATTAAATACAACAAGAAATGTGACCGTAGAATAGTATTTTTTTTAATTTTAGCTCAATTTGACCAATTTTTCCTGAACAACGATTGAAATTTAGCTTTATTCTGTTCTTATTTTGTTTCAATAAGGAATCATACTTTTATATTTAACAGAAAAATAATTTAAGGTAAGGTAAAAACGGGAATCCACCAAACGAAAGTAAATGAATGTTTTAAATAGTCAAAATTATGATATCAATTATGTCTCTGTCGTAGCAATAAAGAACTTTGCCGTCTGTTGTCACAGTTGCATCGGTTGTCACAGTTGCCGGTAATAGGGTGTGATTATCCTGGGTGTGAGTGGTAGAACCAGTATGTATGGGGTGTGGTAGTTATATACGCATGTGTCAGTCTTGGTATATATACATATGCGCGGACTATTCCTTTTTAATCTGGACGATACATTTAGTTACTAGTAGAAGTTCTCTTGCGAGAAATCTATGTTATAGCAGTTTAACTAAGAAATTCCTTACGGATTCCTAGTGCAATTTTGTAACTGGTAAGAGTAAATTAATACTTATTCTTATTTTAAACTATTCTAATTAAATAAATACTAGTGTGTGTGAATTTGTATGAGTGTGTCATTTTCATTGCAGGTCACCTTCATTCGTTTGTTTGTTTATACTTTATTTATTTTCATCGTTCCTGCAAATTGTCATCCAATAAATATAATTATGCATCTTATATAAATATCTATTTCGATAAAATAAGTCCTATTTTTATGTTTTGATATGTTGGCTTTTCACTGCAATAAAGGCTACCTCCAATTTTCTTTTCATTTTTAAAAGAGGAATGAATATTGCATGGTATATGTGAAAAACAAAACATTTCATCATTTGTATTTTTTTATTTGTCAATTACTTTGTTTTCATGGGAGTTTAGTATGTAATTGTGTATAAAAACACGAAAAATGGTCCAGGCCATATCTTGAAAGTGTCCCCCATTTAACTACAATAAAGGCAAGGTAACAAAATTTCACTCTAATTTTTCTTGGCATAATACATACAAATTTATTTCCAAGATTTACATTGTTTTATCATTTCGTTTTCAAAATTTCCAACTAGATTGGGCCTCGTTAAGTGATATTGAAGTCAGACATTAAATATAGAAGCAGTAACTTGTTCAAGAAATTTTTACAGATTTTTTTTTTTTTAGAAATCATGGCAACACTGTTCATCAATTCAAGAGTCGATACAAAAATTATGAATCTCAGTGTAGTTTACTTTTTGAAATCAGACCAAAACTGTAGGAGTAGCATTTAAAAAAGGTCAATTTCACAAAAATACCTGGTACTTTTTTTTAGTAGCCATGAAAACATCTTTCATCAAATTCAAAAACCGTTATTTATCGTAGTGTTGTCTATCTGTGTGCCCAGTTTGACTGAATTCATAGTTTACTTGGTAACTGTATAGGAGTAGCATTTTGAACAATTGTTTATAGACGGACGGACTTGGGAACATAAACATTTATATTATAAGCTCTTCTGGTTACTGACAAGAAAAGCTAAAATTTTTATCTGGTCAAGCATCAGTAAATTGTATGCCATACTCAAAATTCGAATTCTTGTAACATGTATTCTTAATAGATACATCAATCATGCATGATAAGCCAAGGTAGGGCTTAGACAACTCCATTTGTTAAAAATGTCAAAGGACAATAGAATTTGAGGTACAGTAATGTATAAATTATATAAACAAACAAAATAAAGCATATATCAAGATCTATATTAAATAAAATCCAAACACACCGTTTTTTTTTTTTTTTGGTAGTCGTTTTACTTACCTTTCTTTTGTTTGGTCTTTTCACCCTTTTTAAATAAACCTGCAAAAACAAAGAAGAAAGAAATTGAGTCAAACTAACAAATGGGGGGGGGGGGGGGGCAGGTCTATGAAATATTTATCATGATTCATTTAAATAAAAATGAAAAGGACAATGTATCAAATAAATATTCTTAAAAATTCAAACTAAATTTCTCTAACCCCAAGAATTCCTTTCCTCAGGGTCATAATTTTTCCATTTTATAACAAACTTGAATATGTATCAGAATATGAACCTTCATTGTTTTCCATATTAACGGTACTAGACTTTTACCCCTGTGTGCACGGGTTGACTTCGTATGAATGCATCCTTGTACATAATGTACATTTACAAACTAAATACATTGACACATTCATATTGTAAAGTAAGTTTGAAATAAACAAGAAATGTGAATATAATTCTGGTTTTTGATTTTTATTGTTTTATTCAAATTGTAGCGTAACAACAAATCGGAGAATTGTTTGACACCCCCACCCTCCCAATTAGCTATAAATGAAGTCATGAGTTTGAATCACATCAGAGCTAAAAGCAATATGATCTGCAACTCCTGATGTCAAAATTTTTTGTGGAAAATTGTAAATATCTATTTCAATGACAGAAAAAAAATAACGTTAATAAAAATTTATCATAATAAAACATTTTAACAATAAAATAGAACTTTCAAAAATGCAACTTATATTGCTTTAAATTTAATAAAAGAAATAATGTATATTTATGTATAGAAAGGAATGTATAAAAATTGCGTATTTTTTAATCATTATTTTGTGTGAGTTCATGGGTCCCGAAGGGATTTTCCGCGCCTTCTAGTTACGGCTATTAGCCTTATCCTTATCAAAATAGAAATTGGCTCCAAAAATGTGGTTTACACATTTTATCCACTCATCCACCTCCACCCCTTCAATCCTCCATACCTATTGTTATTGTAGAAAATACATGTACTAGTTTCTTTTGTATAATATGCCCATTGTTATTATTGTAGAAAATATATGTACTAGTTTTCTTTTGTACAAGAGAATATGTACTAGTTTTCTTTTGTACAAGATTTGGGATATTTTTTTGGGCCCCACCTTCTGCTGCATTCTGAAATTGTAAAATCTGTAATCTCATTTGGCAAAATTTAGAAATAGAAAGTTTTTCAAGAAAAACCGGGTTTGAAAGATTTAGTGCTATATTACCGGTTAGGCCTGGATTATACTACCCATTTTAGTCACATGTACAGTGTACTCTGAATGTAATGCGCTTGTGTCAATGCTCACGTGAGTAATTTGGCCATTCCATTATTTAACAGATTACCCACTTTGTAGCACCTACATGTATCTTGACCTTGCCAAATACCAAAGGGTCAACATACGTACAATTTAGGGTCAAAAACATTATATCCCCGCAGCTTGTTGCAGCGGGTATAATTATACTTAAATCGGACCAAAACAGTTGGAGAAGTAAAGATTTGAAAAATTGTTAACAGCTTGACAGACGGAGAGACAATGGACAACTTTTAATCGCAAAAGCTCTTCTTGTCTCTGACCAGCAGATCTTAAAACAAGAGGCCCAGGGGCCACAGCGCTCACCTGAGCACATCAGCTAGGAAAAAGCACATATCAGATCAGAACTAAAAGTTTACTAAGGGGGGGGGGGGGGGGCTTGAATTTTAACCCCCGGGGGTTCATGATTTGAACAAACTAGAATCTACACTACCTGAGGTTAATTCCATATAAATATCACTAATCATGGCTTTGAATACTTGAAAAGGAGATTTCAAAAGGTTTCCCTATATACATATGTAAAACTTGGGTCGGCCATTTTGGCCCCACCCTGGTCCCGGGGGTCATAATTTGAACAAACTTGAATCTTCACTACCTGAGGATAATTTTACATGAGTTTCATCTTTCCTGTCTCAATGGTTCTTGAGAAGATTTTTAAAGAGTATATATTCCTATGTAAAACTTTGATCGGCCATTTTGCCCCACCCTAGCCCTAGGGGCCATGATTTGAACAAATTTGAATATACATTACCTGAGGATGATTCCACATGAGTTTCATCTTTCCTGGCCCAGTGGTTCTTGAGAAGAAGATTTATAAAGAGTTTTCCTATATATTCCTATGTAAAACTTGGGTTGGCCATTTTGGCCCCACCCTAGCCCCAGGGGTCATGATTTGAACAAACTTGAATCTACACTACCTGAGGATAATTTTACACGAGTTTCATCTTTCCTGTCTCAATGGTTCTTGAGAAGAAGATTTTTAAAGAGTTTTCCTATATATTCCTATGTAAAACTTTGGTAGGCCATTTTAGCCCCACCCTAGCCCCTGGGGTCATGATTTGAAGAAACTTGAATTTACACTACCTTAGGATGCTTCCACATGAGTTTCATCTTTCCTGGCCCATTGGTTCCTGAGAAGAAGATTTTTGAAAAATGCCATTAATTTTTCACTAATTCATAATTATCTCCCCTTGGAAAAGGGCGTGGCCCTTCATTTGAACAAACTTGAATCCCCTTCACCTAAGGATACTTTGTGGCAAGTTTGGTTGAAATTGTCCCAGTGGTTCTTGAGAAGAAGATGAAAATGTGAAAAGTTTACGCCGACGCCAACGACAACGACGAAAGACGACGGACAAATTTTGATCAGAAAAGCTCACTTGAGCCTTCGGCTCAGGTGAGCTAAAAAATTAAATTCACCTTTCTTTGGTTTTACATCAGCATAAATTGGTCTCGCATCTTCTTTTTTCTTGACTTCGGCATAAACATTTGCATTGGTGTCACTTCCATATCCTTTTTTATTAACTTCAGCATATTCAGCTGTGTCAGAGTTTCCTAAATCCCCATTGTCTCTTGGTCCTGCAGGGACATAGAGAACATTGTCCTTCAGACCATCATCTAAAAAAAAAGTTTCTGATATTAATCAAGAGTTTTTTCGTTGGTATTACTATTAATATGATATCAACCTTTGTAACTAGTGCTCATTTTCTGCCATAAGTTTGTTATTTTTTTAAAGTTTTTGACAATATTTTACTCCTATTGAGATGCCATCACTTTCCGGTGGAAGCCTCCTAGCTCTATAGTCATCACTAAAGGTCTCAATCTGATTAATATGCAGATCTCTTCATAGCGCAAAGCAGTGATGTGACAAATAAAACATTTATAAGCATTTAAAAAACCTAGCATTATAATAATATTATTAATTCAAAAGGAAACAAACATTAGAATAAGAATTGAAACAAAATGAAAATTCTTTTAAAAATATATGCGTGTGTAGCATATATATGGTATTATTGACAGGAGGTGGTCATCTGGGGATGACGATGTCAACAATCTAGTATTTACACTCCACCAGAATGCTTCTTTCAGGGTTCTCCATCATTTCAAATTTAACTGTGGCGCAAGAATTGCAAAAGGTACTTATATTCGTGGTCATTTCGCGACCAAAAAATGATATCAAATTAAAATAGTGTTGAACAAAAATTAAATTATTTCCACAATATGTACTGTGAAAAAGACCCCCCCCCTCGATCCTTCCCAAACATACAAAAGAACTAGATAAATAGATATTTGCTTATAGAATCTAAAAAAAGTATCAATAATAACAGGTTTAAATTATTTAACCCTAATTTAATAACAGTTTGTTCTCAAAAGGTAAATATACACATGCAGTGTTCATTAAAGATCGACAGAAAAAATTATGGTAGGTCATATAAGGCACATACGTCTGATACGATGTTTTGACTCGCAGTGCAAGTGTAATGTTACAGACATAGGTAATTGTAGAACTAATTGATATTTAAAATTTACTTTGTAATTATCGTGAAGTGTGAAAAACAGTAAAAATTTTGAGAAATCAAAAATATTCTTCATTTCATCAAGGGCAGATAACTCTTCAAAAACTTTTAACATGCAAAATGACTCTTTCCTTACATGTTATCAGTCTTGTGTATTTGGTCCATTTCATTTTTATCATTATCAAGCGATGCTTTTTAATTAGTTTAAAATTATTAAAAAAATCGTTCAAAATCCCTTCATTGTACGTTGTATACCTTAATTTTAAAAACATAGGTAACAAGCAAATTCAAAGAATTGGGTCCACTGCTTAAGGCCGCTTTTGGTGTCTTTGTGGGTGAGATGTAATTTTTTTTATGACATATTGTGTCAAATATGAACGACTATCACATGTTATTTAGAAATTATCACCGAAGTTGAAATTTTAGAAAATAAGACATCGTGAAGGTGAAGGTCAAAAGTTATGTCCAAGGATAATTTTTTGAAAGGTACATGGTTTCTAAAGAAAGACAAGTATTACATATGTGAAGCATGAAACTCTAGCCCTTACCGTTCAAAAGTTATGACCAAGGAAATGTTTTTAAAAAGTAGGTCAAACTCCAAGGTCAAGGTCAGGGGACATGGTTCTTGATATCCAATGAAAGGTCTTTTCACAAGGATTAAATATGTGAAGTATTGAATGCCCTAGCCCTACCACTTCAAAAATTTTGGTCAAAGTTTGTTTTTTTTAAAGTAGGTCAAACTCCAAGGTCAAGGTAGAAGGCCAGATTTCTTGGTTTTATATAAAAGGTCTTTCAACAAGAATAGCATATGTGAAGTTTGAAATCCCAAACACTTATCGTTCAAAAGTAATTGCCAGGTTAAAAATTTATCATAAATACGAATATCTCCAAGATCAAGGTGGAAAGGTCAAAGTTGTTGAAATCCAATGGAAGGTCTTCCCACAAATAATACATATGTAAATGATGAAATTCCTAGTATCTTAGGTTCAAAAGTTAAAGATAAAGTGAAAGTTCAAACAAGAGGCCCATGGGCCACATCACTCACCTGAGAAGCTTTGACCATGCTATACTTAACCAGATTTCCCCCTTGTAATACCGATTGTGACCCCATCCGTCCCCCGGGGGTTATGATTTGAACAATTGAAAATCTACACTACCCCAGGATGCTCCCACATAAGTTTCAGCTTTTCTGGCCAAATAGTTCTTGAGAAGAAGATTTTTAAAGTTTTTTCCTATAGATTTCTATGTAAAACTTTGATTCACTATTGTGGCCCCGCCAAACTCACGGGGGTAATGATTTGAGCAATTTAAAATCTACACTACCCCAGGATGCTTTCACATAAGTTTCAGCTTTCCTGGCTCAGTGGTTCTTGAGAAGAAAATTTTTTAATAACCCCACCCTATTTCTGTCTGTTCTTAATTTTATCCCTTTGTGAGAGAAGCTGGCCCTTTATTTTAATAATTTTAATTCCTCTTCATTCAAGGATGCTTTGTACCAAGTTTAATTAAAATTGGCCTAGTGGTTCTTGAGAAGAAGTCGAAAATGTGAAAAGTTTACAGACGGATAGCTAGACGGACGGCTGGACGGAGGACGGACAAAATGTGACCAGAAAAGCTCACTTGAGCCTTCAACTCAGGTGAGCTAAAAATTTTTGTAAGAGTGGGTCAAACTCAAAGGTCAAGATCAAAAGGAAAATTTGGTTGTACCAAAAAAAAGGTTTTGTCAGAAGGAATACACCTGTGAAATATGAAAGCCATAGCTCCACTAAATAAAAAGTTATGGGCAAGGCTCAAGTTTTTGTGACAGACAGACAGACTGCGATGGAGAGACGGGTCATGTAGTAGCTACTGAAAATGAACTGTTCAAAAGGTTTAAACCTGGTCACTCATCTGAAAAAAATAGGCCAGATCCTACATCAGGAGTACTTAGTATGGTGTCCATCCCTAGATGCTTCATCAATGCAAGTGTGGTCCAGGTTGGGCTTATATTTACTAGGGTATGGACCTACCACCAAAAACTTGAACTTGGTAATTATCTGGAAAAAGTACGTCAAATCCAGCATCCAAAGCAATTTGGTAGTGTTCATCCCTAGATTCAACATCAATGCAAATTTGATCCTGGTAGAGTAAATAATGAATAGACCTGGTCCAACAACTTAAACAGAGCTCTAATGATGCCATTGTATAGTGTAAGCTCATCTCGACTTTGTCTAGGTGAGCTAAAATGAATCTTACCCTTCGAAACCAATGTTTTACCCTTTTCATCAATTCTGGCCCAGTGGTTTTTAAAAAGATTAATAAAATATTGTCATATTTACACTTTTATTCTAAACGGAAGTGACCCTAAATATGAAAGAACTTGAATCTCTGACATGCAAGTCTGCTTTATTGGAAGTCGGGTTGAAATATTGGCCTTGTGGTTTTTAAGAATAGCTCAACTGAGTCATTTTGATCACAATATTCTTTACGTCAAAAGTAGTCTTACCCTGAAAGGACTTACTGCATGATCTTTAAGAATCGTAATTCAATGAAAAATATTATCTAAAACCCAGTATGCATAAAAATGTTGAATACTAATAACATTGTTAAAAGCATATATCAAGCAATAGGGAGAGTTGAAATTCAAATACCACAATATGCATATTTCTAAAATATTGCTCTGATATCATGGTTGACAATTGAGTGATAGAGATGAGAGGTTGCACAGTGTAAACGGGCTATACACGACAAAAAAAAAACTGAAGAAAATTAATACATAATGTGTTTGCAATACATATAACTACATAATACATGTAAAACTTTAAATAGGTCCTAAGAATATTCTTTTGAGATATTTGTTTTTTTTCTCCAAAATATGAAATGTTGAAAATTTGTGGCTCTGATAACGGCAATGTATCGTGATCGGTAAATAATATTTCAAGACCGCCATCCTTTACAAAAAAATGCAAACATTCATATTACGTTAAAAATGAAAACAAACGAAGAAAAACAAGTTTTTATTTCATTTTCTAATTGGTGAATAAAATGTGTAAATACCCAGATTGTGATGAAAATAAAATTTTAAAAATTCAAATAGAAGCAAATAATGATTAGTTTTTGAAAGATATTGACTCATAACTACGAAAGCCCAGAAGGCTCATTCCAGTTTCGAAATACGAGATTCGAAATACGAGATTCGAAATTCGAGATTCGAAATTCGAGTTTCGAAATTCAAGATCCAGATTAACCAATCAAAAGTGGGTTCAACATTTGATTACTCCCCTTTATTATGATTTTACTATAAAGAAATCGTTTAATATATTAATAACAAATGAGTCATTTGATTAAATTACAATGCAAGAAAGAGTGTTATATATATTAAAAGGAAATTTAAATCATCATTGGATTTTTGATCAGCAAGATATACTTCAATTTATATTATGGCGTCTTAAATATTAAATAGAATACATATATCAGGAGTATATATAGTTTTGTATCGTCTACTTTGTATCCGGGGTTATAAATAAGTGTCAAGTGTCTAAAGATTAACAATAACCCCACCTCTACCAACCCCAGCTACCTATTTTCCAAACACACTGAAAATATTACTTTGTAAAATTTGAAAAACGACGTGGTATTGAAAAAACAAAAATCGTGTTTGTTTTCCTGATAGAGGAAATACATAAAAATTAAGTATTTAATTATTTATCTTAATCTAAGACTTTGATTTCTTGAATTAATTAAAAAATATATCTACAATACAGATTGGCAAAAAAAATGCGGCATTTATTTTATCTTATATCAATTGTAGATGAGTCTAAATTAGATGCAGAACTTTAGCGTCATGTTTTAAATTTTAGTCTCTGACCATACCGTTATGACCAAAAACTAAAATATACTCGTGAAACCTTATAACGCTACAGTTCGATTCAACAGTCAAGTCTCACTGCACAAATGTACCCTTTATAAATTTAATGTAATATATATATACCCTTGAATTACTGTGCAGTGTAGAGACGATTCATAATACTAGTATTTCATATCTAATTATAATCAAATACAATATTTTCCCTCAGCATAGATCTGATTAAAAAACAAATAGTCGACCTACTTGTTCCGCAAGTCAACGATAGGACCATATGATTTTCTATAAATACCTATTTACTATTTTTTTTAAAGAGAAAAATAAAATTATATATGTATTTTTCAAAATGTAATCCAAATTTCATTTTTATTTCGTTTTAATACATAAAACATTTTTTCTTGCATTATCATTTTAGCAAATGACCCATTTGTTATAAATACATTCAACGATTTCTTGATAGTAAAAACATAACAAAGGGGAGTAATCAAATGTTGAACCCACTTTTGATTGGTTAATCTGGATCTTGAATCTCGAAACTCGAATTTCGTATTTCGAATCTCGTATTTCGAAACTTGAATCTCGAATGAGCCTTCTGGGCTTTCATACATAACTGCAATGGTGTGTGCGCAAACAAATTTTATAATGAGCTAACACGCATTTTTCAGATATAAAACAGTTACTGTATTTTTCAAAAAAAATAATGATTTATTGCTTAAATAAAGAACTCACCATTTGAACTGTCATCATCAGCCACATCATGTTTTAATCTATAATAAGATAAAATTTTACAATACAAACTAAGTTAACTTCATCAACCTTTTAGATTAATTTGAAAATGAGATCAGGTAAGCTTTATAATTTTTGTATTCTGTTCGATTACTTAGACTTCCATTTAAACAATTGACAGTTCAGACCTTGCATGGAGTTTTTCCAGGTGAAATTCAAAATATTTATAAAAGCTTCATTGTAACTTTTCAATAAAAGCAAGCAATCCATTTGCCTGCTAATTGTCCATGTACATGTTTTAAAATTATAGTCAAATATTTTCAATCCTCTTTGTGCCCCTGAAGTCCTTGACAAATGGACAGTAATTATAAAAGTTTGGTTCTTTGTTTGTGTTTAACATGTTTAACGTCCTTCTCGAAAAATTCTCAGTCATATCTAGACCTGAATCTCTGTTGAGATTCTGCTGGGCTAGATATTTGAACCGACGCCCAGTACAAATATCTAGCCAAACAGAATCTTAACAGAGATTTATCTAGACCTCAACACTTGATGGTAGAAGACTGCAAATTTATATGATAATCTGCTTTTAGGGTCATTGTGCACCAGAAGTTCTTTTTCATGCCATCAAGAACTTTGACATAAGGACCTTAGTTTAAACAATTTCAACCGAATTGCACGTCTCCACGTCAACCTAAGTGGACTCAGACCAGCAATGTTAGGATCAGCCCCTTACTTAGCGACTTAAGAGCAAACACTCTAATCACTGGACCACGATGATGATTATACTTTTAAAGAAGAACCCAGAATAGATTCTTAAGAAGCCAAGTTTAAAGTTTGCCTGCCAGAGATTCCCAACACAATGTAGGATGTCTTTGACCTTCCATCCTTTCGTCAGTTATTCAGTGCGTTCTTATCATCACAACTCCTCTAAATCAATAAAAAATTTTGTGTGTTTATGACTAGATTTCTATCTTCTATTTAAAGGTAAAGAAACTATATGAAGATTGCATAATTCATTTATGTTTTTATCTCAAAATCTTAGTCCAATGTGGAAAGAACCATTAAAATCACATTTTTTATGTCCATTAGCTTAAAGATTTTGTACTTTAATTGGTTTCGCCATTTCAATGAACCTGAGATTTAATCTACCTTCCACTTGGAGTGTCAGTTCTGCCTCTATCGAGGCCCTAGGCTCGACAGGGCTGATCTACTGCCTGCAAAAGGGATTTAAAACGGTCACCAGACTGATGATTGTTTCCATTACTTGAACCTGGACAGTTCCTGAATGAATTCTTTCCTTTATTCATAAAGGGTTTACCAGACTTAAAGTTGCCAGATACCCCTCTAGACTGTTCCCTATGGTGGCCACTACCACCTGTCTGCTTTTGACTGCCAGTGCCAAATGTGTTATTCTGGCCTGTCTTACGAAAAGGACCTAATTCTTTGGAATGCATTCATTTAGCTAAAAGCTCAGACTCGAAAGAAGTTGAGCTCAGCTTTGTATCCTTTACGATATTTACTCTCCGTGCGTGATGTTGCAAACCGCTAGCTCTATCTATCTGATCTAATGCATCAATGACCGCTTTGAACGCTTCTATCTTAGCTTATTTTAACTTAGCTGGGTCAAAATTTTTAGAAGAATGAGCAAGTTCATTCATGGCACTACCTAGGCCTTGCTGCAAAGCTAAATTGCAGCCATACCTGTTAGCATAGCATTCTGCACTGAAACCAAATTGTTATCCACGCCCTAGCTCAGCCACCTGGGATATAACAAGATTTTTATCTGAATCTAGTCCTTGTTTCTTCAAATCCTTACGTTTGAGGAAAACAGGGTCTACTTTAGCACAACACAATAAAGACTATGTTGATTCATGTAAAGGGTACTTTCTGACATTCTAAACTTAGGCCGAGCCTCAAACTTCATTGGCTTTGTAGCACACAAAGACGATTGCAATGACATTTTTTGAGAAGATCAAAGCACAACTTAGGGGCTGATTCATTTTCAACACTCTGGGTGACTGCCGAGTCACCAAAAGCCTTGTAAAGGAGAGATTCCTGTAGTTGACTAGGTTTAAGCCTTCGAACACCCCCCCCCCCCTCCCCCCACTGTTTTGGTTTTGTACAAGGAAGATAATAAGGCTTCCTTCAGGAAAAAAATGACCTTTGGTTTCTTGCGTCGAGGGGGGGGTGACATTGTGTCCATTTCCTCCACTGAGGCTGAACTTGGAATCACAAACAATAAAGAAGGCGGCTTGGGCCTCCTTTCAGCCTTTTTAGAACATTGAGACTCTTGGTCTAATGATGATCATCAATTGGGGCTAAAATAGAAATGTAATCTGGTTCTAAGTTACTATCTGACGACTTATGCCGAGACTGCGTCAAAACAATAGATGGTGCCGCCATATTTTGGCGCGGAGTTGGAGCTGACCAACTTCCTGGCCCCGAATGGCATTGTTGCACAATTAACCACATAGGTTGCATGGTATACGGGTATGGTGGGTAAAAATACCCATGAGGTGTGTGATGGGGCGGAGGTGGCACCGGTATAAACGGTGCACCATGTTACTGGCCCATAAACCTCGATGGTGAAAATTTGGTCGAGCCTTAATAAGACTGTCCCGTTTTCCTCCGCCTCACTGGCGAACCTGAACTTTCCCGGCTTTGGGAAACAGTCCACTGTTTCTTGCCTTGACGCTATGTCTCCTGCTACGGAGAGACGTCCGAAGAATCTGACAAGTGCTTGTCTTTCTCCTCATTTAACTGAGGCACTGCAGATTTTTTCTGAGAGATCTTCCAAAGACATGATATGACAAAATGAACACCAAACAAGAGGCCCATGGGCCTTATAGGTCACCTGCATCATGCAACAACTTTCAAATGATTGAATTTGGTTCAAGTTTTAAGCTAAATGCTATGGCGTTCACAATTTTGAGAGAGGCACCATTGCTAATCATAACAAGATGTGTTTGTGAAACACTGATGCCCCCGTATGGCAACATAGCGACGGTTAAGCTTTCTCAAAAGCAGATCAAATATGTTGGTTCCAAAGTAAGGCCTTTTCACAAGAAATGCGGAAATGTAAACATTAGCTACACCTGTTCCAGGGTTATGACCAAGGTTAACGTTTTATAAGACAGGACAAACTCCGGGTCAATGTCAAAGGGTCAAGGTTGTTGTGTTCTAAAGAAAGGCCTCGTCTTAAAGACTACGCATGGGAAGAATGAAAGCGCTGGCCCTTACCGTTCAAAAGTTATGGCCAAGGTAAAAGTTTGTAAAAAGTAGGTCAAACACCAAGGTTAAGGTCAAATGGTCAAGGTTCTTGATATCCAATGAAAGGTATTGTCACAGGGATTACACATATTAAATATAAAAGCTCCAGCCCCAACAGTTCAGAACTTATGGTCAAGGTTGAAGTTTGTAAAAGGTAGGTCAAACACCAAGGTTAAGGTCAAATGGTCAAGGTTCTTGATATCAAATGAAAGGTCTTGTCACAAGGATTAAATTTGAGAAGCATTAAGGCCCTAGTCCTAACTCTTCATAAATTATTGTCAATGTTGTATTTTTAAAGTAGGTCAAACTCCAAGGTCAAGGTCAAAAGGGTCAAGGTTCCTGGTATCCAATGGAAGGTCTTTTCATCAGAATTATATTCATGAAGTATGAAATCGCTAGTACTTATTGTTCAAACGTTATAGCCAGGGATAAAGTTTTTTCGTAGGTACAGAAATCTCCAAGGTCAAGGTCAAAGGGTCAAGGTTATTGTTATCCAATAAAAGGTCTGTTAACAAAGATTACAAACATGAAGTATAAATGTCCTGGTATCTATTGTTCAAAAGATATGGCCAAAGTAAAAGTTTCAAATTTTCATGTAAAAGTGGGTCAAACTCCAAGGTCAAGGTCAAAAGGTCAAATTTGGTGGTACCCAAAGAAAGGTCTTGTCACAAGGAATACACATGTGAAATATGAAAGTCATAGCTCCACTAAATCAAAAGTTATGGGCAAGGTTAAAGTTTTTGCGGACAAATAGAGAGACAGACAGAGAGACAGAGAGACAGACAGACAGATGGACACGACAAAAACTATATACCCCCGAAACTTTGTTTACGGGGGCATAATAACTATACACTTAAAATTACTTAGTTTGATTACTTAATACCCATATTCAGGGTAGGGGAACAAACAACCCTTGCAGAAATCATTCCTGACTTGAAAATGCTTCTCAAGAATTCCTAAGATGTCCTAAGAATTCCTAAGATTTCCTCACAATCTGATTTGAGGAAATCCTAGGAGTAACAATCCTGGGATTTGATTTCAGGACATCCTAGGATCTCCCAGGACTTCTTTGTTAAACATTTCAAATCCAAATCTTGCCAGGACATTTCATTGTAAAGCCAGGAGTTAATCATTTTTATGATGATCCCATTTCCTAAGACTTTTGACTTAATGTTGGGACTTTTGTAAAAAAGACAAATTAAACTTTACAAACTTGTACATGTTAATAAATGTTAATACAGAATGACAGGAAATTTTATTACTTTTAAAGTTTTAATGTATAATATCAAGAAAATCATAAAATGAATAATTTTCAATCATTACATATTATACTTGATACATAGAAAGACACTGACCCTAGAACTATTTTTTAAATTAAATACTTTCTGAAATATTGATGCTGTCAGGGAGGAGTTATACATGTAATATGTTTTAAAGAAAAAATTGTTTACAGACAAACAATATTTCACCATTTTCAAATCACACATTTCTGGGTTGATTTTTATCCATTAGAATTAAATTCTACACTTAATCTTTAGATTGCTTCATTCATGGGAAACTGAGTGCAAGCATAGTTTTTTTTTTCAAAAACACTGGTCATACAAACTTGGCCATCTTGCAATACAACATCAAGTATTAATACAACTTTTTCTTTCTATGTAGAAGTAATATTTTCCAGAATGTTTCACTGAAAATAAAGTGTTCCTCTTAACTTAAAGTTGGTTTTCAAATGGCTTTGAATTCAGAAGACCATACATGCAGAAGGATGGAG